GGAATACAGCACTACACATTGCAGCTTCCCAAGGCCATCTCCATGTCCTGTTTACGCTGGTGAAACTTGGCGCCGCAACAAACGTGAGAACGGCCGAGGAGAGACTCCCAAGGAACTGCTGAAAGGAACTTCCACCACTGCAAATTACGACATGGAAATCTTCAAAGGCATCTCGCTGGTAATGGCGCTCAAATCTGCTGATAGAAACTTAATCTATATTTTATTGGATTTTTACGATGCTAGCTTGTGTTTCCATACATGGCAAATGATTTTCGTCTTTTTTTTTCGTTATACATCCTAATCAATGTTGAATCAATTCCATGCTCACCAGTATGATTCGATTTACAGATAGAAATAATGGAGAAATACCTCGCAGCTGAAAAGGGAAAGGCCAGCCTACGGAGAGAATACATGTCGTTTCAGGTCAGTGAGAGATGGAGCTTCTGTAGTGGATCTGCTGTTTCAGGAAGAAACTTGCGTTGTGGAGGGGAACTGGTCGAGGGGAAATGGGAATTACATCAGAGAAAGAGAGTGAATGGGTGAGTGAGTGACAGAGACAGAGATATAGAGAAAGAGAAAGACAGAGAGTGAATGGGTGAGTGAGTGAGTGAAGAGACATAGAGATAGAGAGAGAAAGGGAGAGAGAGAGAGGAGAAAGAGAGAAGAGAGAAAAGAGAAAGAGAAAGAGAAAGAGGGAGTGGAAGGGAGAGGGAGGGGGGGAGGAGAAAGAAAGGAGAGAGAGTATGTGTGAGAGTGCGTGTGTGAGAGAGGAAGTGAGAGCGAGAGAGTTTGTATATGTGCATGTGATCTCAAATATGGTGTTAGTGTGAATGTGTGTGTGTGTAAGAGAGGGAGAGAGAGAGAGGAAGGAAGGGGTGGAAGAAAGATAGAAACAGAAATAGCCATCTCGTCATACAGACTCAAGCATTTACGAGTAAACACGCGTGCATACTATTTCTCCTTTGCAGAATGAACACAAAAAGGAACTGAAGAGCATTAAAGAAGACCAGAGAAAGAGAGACGCTGATTCTCAGACAATGAAGAAGGAAATCGGTGCTTTGAAAGACAAGATCAAAGCGATTGAGGTGAGTCGAAGGGGGAATTAATGGAACCTAAGAAAGAGAGAGAGAGGAGGGAGAGAAAGAGAGAAGGGAAGGAAAGAGAGAGAGATAGGAGGAGGGAGAAAGAGAGAAGGGAGGGAGAGAGAGATAGGAGAAGGAGAGAAAGAGAGAAGGAGGGAAAGAGAGAGAGATAGAGAGAGGAGAGAAAGAGAGAAGGAGGGAAGAAGAGAGATAGGAGGGAGGAGAGAAAGAGAGAAGGGAGGGAGAGAAGAAGGAGGGAAAGAGAGAGAGATAGGAGGGAGGGAGAGAACACTGAACTGGGCTTGTACGAAGTGAATATCGCAATCCGGAAAGGAACAGAGCTACAGGTGGGACAAACGGCCAGCTTTGGCTGCCCAGGAGCGCTAACTTGCACGTCCGGTCAATGTTTGTGCGTATATGTGTATGTGTGTATGCGCTCATTCAAATACAGACACACCAAGCACATGCTCACACGCCCACTGTGCATCCCCGATTCTCAACAGAGACCTGGAAGGCTTAAGCGATCCATTTCTTTCCAGGAGGAACACAAAGCAGAGCTGCGGAACGTCGCAGAAAATCAACAAGAAAAAGAGGCGGAGATTCTGAGGATGCAGAATGAAATAGTCGGTTTGAAGGAAACAGTTGCAAGTAGAGACGAGAAGATCAAGTCGCTGAAGGTGAGATAAAGAAAGGAATATTGGGAATTCAGATAGGGATGAGAGGGAAGAAGAGATATAAGAGAGAAAAGATGAAGAGCCTTTACTGATAATGAGGAGCAGGAAGCGATTCGACACACACACACACACACACACACACACACACACACACACACACACACACACACACGGCACACTGGATATATATATATATGGTATATATATATATATATATATATATATATGGTATATATATATATATATATATATAGTGTGTGTGTGTGTGTGTGTGTGTGTGTGTGTGTGTGTGTGTAATGATATTAAGCTATATATATATATATATATATATATATATATATATATATATATATAGTGAGTGAGAGAGAGAGAGAGAGAGAGAGAGAGAGAGAGAGAGAGAGAGAGAGAGAGAGAGAGAGAGAGAGAGAGAGAGAGATAGATAGAGAGAGAGAGAGAGAGAGAGAGAGACGAGAGACGCTGACTCTCGGGAAATGAAAAAGGAAATCGGTGCTTTAAAAGGGAAGTTCAAGGCGATCGAGGTGAGACGAAGAGGAAAGTGGAAAGAGACATAGAAAGAGATGAGGGGAAAAAGAGAAGGGAGAGTGAAAGAGGGAGGGAAAGAAAGAGAGAGGGGGAGGGGAGAGACGGAGAGAAAGAAGAGGGGAGGGAGAGAGCGTGAAAGAGGAGGGAATGAAAGAGAGAGTGAGAAGAGAGAGAGAGAAGAGAATGAAAGAGGGAGGGAATGAAAGAGAGAGGGAGAAAACAGAGATATAGAGGGAGAGAGAGTGAAAGAGGAGGGAAAGAAAAGAGAATGGAGAAGAGAGAGAGAGAGAGATAGAGAAGAGGGGAGGAGAGAAAAGAGAGACAGAGAGAGAGAGAGAGAGAGAGGGGAGGTAGAGAGGGAGAGATGGAAGGAGAGAGGTGGGGGTAGAGGAGAGAATGGAGCTAAGGGAAAGGCAGGCTGGGAAGCAGGGAGAGAGGGAGAGGATGAAAAGGCTGTATCTGAATGAGTTTGCATACACATAAATGTGCATATGTGTGCAATAATATTAATGATGATACTCATGAGGATTATGAAAATTATGATGATAATAGCAATAATAGAAATAATAACTAGAAGCACATAAAGGATTACAGTAAAATCACCTCCTCAAGTACACAGATGACGTCCGTAAGCATCACCTCCTTGGCGGAGGCAAGGCAATAGGGAAATTATATCATCAAAAAATTCTTGGATCCGGATCACGATCCGGGTCACCACCAAAATTCAATGGAATCTAAGGCTAAAACACCTCTGATAAATTTGCATGCAATTCTGTTCATTTTTTTTTTTTTTTTTTTTTTTTTTTTTTTATCCTGCTAACAAACGACAAATAATATCCGGATCGCCACCAATATTAATGCCATCTAAGTTAGGCTAAGACACAATCACAACGACGGGATTATTGTGAGCAGCTTGTCCAATTAGTTATAGAGGAATGTGATATTAGACATGAGGAACTTTGGGAAACTGTATCGGTGTCGAGGAACTTCAAAATATCGGCAGGATTTAAAAGGTTTGGACTTCCTCTCTGTTACTTGTTCGGAGTGTGGGTAGGCCTATGCGCCGCTGAATGTGACGGCCTCCCTTGCTATCCCCAGTTTCTTTAATCATTGGATCACTTCACTGTTCGGGGTCCCACAGCTGTGTTTAGGAGACTATAATGTTTTCCTGTTGTACCGAAGATGCGCCATAGTTGCCAAGACGCTTTGCCACAGCCAGAGATGAGACCAACAGCCGGCCTTGGCTGCCCGGGATCGCCGACTTGCACGTCCGTCTAATACGGCGTCAGGTCAAGGTTTGTGTGTGTGTGTGAGTGTTTGTATGTGTGTGTGTGCGTGCACGAACACACATATATATGCTCGTATAAATGTATACAAACTCATCCAGATACAGACACACCAAGCACATGCCCACACGCCCACTGTGCATCCTCGATTCTCAACAGGGACCTGGAAGGCTCAAGCGATCCATTTCTTTCCAGGAGGAACACAAGCAGAGCTGCGGAACGTCGCAGAAAATCAACAAGAAAAAGAGGCGGAGATTCTGAGGATGCAGAATGAAATAGTCGGTTTGAAGGAAACAGTTGCAAGTAGAGACGAGAAAATCAAGTCACTTGAGGTGAGATAAAGAAAGGAAGATTGAGATTTGAGATAGGAATGAGAGGGAATACTAATAATAATATGAAAGAGAGACTGAGAAAGAGCAATACAGACAAGGAGAAGCAGGACGCGAATCGAAAGCAAAATCACGCACCGGAATATGATCCAAGCGTGCAATTGTGAATCGAGGAGTAAGCAGGAAACTCGTTAGTGTGTGTGATTAGAAATGATAGATTGTAGTCCGACCAGCAGAGAGACGAACACGAGACAAGGATTAAACTGGTAACCGACCAACTGCCGTGCATGCGGGGATCCGCAAACGGGCGGTGTGGCAGCGTGGGGCGCGAGCGGCGTTCGGACGCGCCAGGGACTCCGAGGTCAGAGGCAGAGGCTGCGAGATGGTAGAGAATTGAGATTTAGAACTAGCTTTAGTTCTAGATTTACATTAGGATAGAAATTGTATAGAATTAATATTTAGAAGTAGATTTAGATTTACATTAGGATAGAGATGGTATAGAACACATTCCATTAGGATAGCCCCATTAGGATAGACCATTAGCCCCCTATAGAGAAGTAGATTTAGATTTACATTAGCAGAGATGGTGTAGAATTAAGATTTAAGAGGGAATTCGAAAGCTCCGAGGATTGGGCAAAGACACGGCGCCATCACAAACAGGGCTCACTCCATTGAAAGAAAACGGGAATGAGACGGAAATAGGGTGATGCACACACACATACACGCACACACGCACGCACACATACACACATATATATGAAACGTGTGTGTGTGTCTGTGTATGCGTATATGTATATATAATATATATATATATATATATATATATATATATATATATATATATATATCTTATATACACATATTTTATACATATACATATATATACACATGTATGTATGTCTATATATATATATATATATATATATATATATGTATATATATATATATATATATATATATATATATATATATATATATATATATGCGTATATGTACACACACACATCTACATACTGGCGAGCGCGGCTGCTTGACTGTCGGCCATCTTGCTCACTCAGACGCCGCCCTTGAGACACCTCGCCAACGCCCTTTGCGCTTGCGTCTGCTAAGGAGCGTCCTGAAGAGCATTCCTTAAAGTCGGATGTGATGTTGGGATGTCCTGAGGGGTTAGGGGGTCCTAGCGACGCTGGGAATGTTCTTAGGTGCCG